AGACACCTACTGCATGCAAGGTACTGTGCTAACTACTTCAATTGGTTTCATAAACCAAGCACATGGTACCATCTGAGCAAGGGAACAAACTCATGAATTAACAGGCTATGTAAGTCATGCATTTCTCTTCCCAGGCTTTCCTGTCTCTACTTTAGTGCCTTTGTGGTACCCTTGTCAAAATGAGAGCCCAAATTCAATTCACCAATCAACTTGGAAGCAAGGATTCATGTGCATAAATTTTACCCTCAAATTTCAGTACCCATAATTAAAGGTTCCTCTACCTTTGAAATCTTGGACAAGATCTCTCCATCAATCTATGTTCCCACCTACTTCTGGTCTTATCTCTTGCTGACTCAGACTATTCCCTACATTCCTCAAATACCAGCTTTCTTTGTTTCTCCTCAGCAGGTGGTTGATGCCTCTCTCACACTGCCTACAAAATCCTGAAGTTTCTTTATGCCTCATTTAGCTTCCAGACTATTTAGAAATCTCAGTTCCTATCCTAAATCTTTAAACTTGACTGTCTATTAAATTAAGCCCCTGAACTACAGAGATTTGCTATGCTTATTCTCCCCCATAAATGTCTTTTTACAGCACTCTTTATCCATGGCCTACAAGATCATGCATGTAATTTTATTCTTCTTTCATGTGGAAAGTTCAAATCAAATTACAAAGAAGCCTGAGGTATTACTCTATGGTCTATATAACCTACATAATAAAATAGGAGCTCAAACAATTGTGTTCATCCTTCATGTTGTTAGCAAATATAAAATTGCTACATTTTAAGGCAATGCAATTATTTGTCATCCTTCTACAGAAAAAATGACACCAATAATTGTTTTTGATCAATAATTTTAAAAATTTAGTATGGCATACAGGTGATTTACATTTTTATTTTATTTAAGAATTAGTTTTGAGTACATAGTTTTTTTCATAAGTAAACCAAAGTTCCTATCAATGAAATTCATATGGCATGCACAGGCTGAAAGAGTTCAGAATAAATACAGGGTATTACTTTTCAGTAGAAAGGATCAATATACAACTTTAGAAATCCTGTGAGGAAAAAAGACACACTTGAAAAATTTCACTGATTTAGAGTAAGTTAATAAAAACAGTATTTTCCAACTTGCTTTACTAATACCCTTTTTGTTTCTTACACATAACTAATGGAAGAAATATTATTCATATGTACTCTTGAATTTTTAATAATTGGAAATACCAATCGTGTGGAGCATTTATTCAAATTTTTTAATGGTTTAAGAACTTTAAAGAGAGGAGTGGGTTTCTGGTTTGGTGTTGTGGAAGGGGAAGGAGATGAATGGAAAACATGGCTGCTATTTTTTTTAAATTGGGATTTTACAAATGTGGGGAAAAAATCAGCATTTTGTAAGCAGCAGATGACCTTTAAATGTCACAAACTTACTGATATGTAAATATAAACACAGAAAAATGTAATGTCAGGTAACTATAATAAAGTGATCAATGCAATTATAATGTGTTCTGTGATATATAAATTACACTGAGTCCTGAATGTCAATGATGCAAGTACCTTTGAAAAGTAAATTGCAATTCACTAAATATCATCTAATAGAAAAAATGAACAATAACAAGTATTGGTGTTTTTTGTGAATCATACGTTCCACTGTTACAGCATATTCCTATGACCTGGACAGCTCCACACCCTAGCCTTATAAATGTACAAGACTTAAATCAATTTTTTTAATAACAGGAATGCAAAAATAAAACCCTCATGAAAATAATTCTCTGATAAAATTTGCTTGAAGCTCATTTCTATTCTTAATTGTAGCCAACTTTCAAAAGTTGGTGGAATGTGATCGTAGACATTATAATTGGTTTCCAAATCAAAAAAAAATCAATTCTAACCATGCAGTATAGTAGAAATTTCATCATTAACGTACAATTTGAACAGTGGTGAAAGCTGTGTAGAATGTACACTTAGAGAAACTGACATGTCAGGATGACAGGAGGCAACAGAATGTGATGAAAACAAGAGTGAAATATTCAAACAAACCCAATTTGGCTACTACCTAACTAGCTACAGGACCTTAAGCACCAAAGTGTATTTTAACCTCTCTGGGCCTCGGTTTCTTCAGCGGTCAAAAGAGGATAACAATACAGACACTGCCCAGCTCAGTTTTTAGGTGTATCAAAAAAGATAAATCAAAGAACTTTGAAAAGGGCAAAGGACTATACAAAGGTAAGATTTTATCCATTATAGTCAGTAAGGAGTTAAATTTCGGTAAATTATATTAAATGTTCATGTCATTCTCTACCCCTAAAATGCCTTTGTAACCCAATTCAAATACCATAACTCTATGAAGTCTTCTATGAACTTCCAATTCCTAACTGGGTTCTTAACCATTTTAGGGTCATAGGTCTGATGAAGCCTATGGACGTCTTCTCAGAATGATGATTTTAAACGCACAAAATAAGGTATATAAGATTACAAAGAAAACCAATTATACTGAAATGCAATTGTTGAAATACTTTTTAAAGAAGTTCCCATGCCCCAGGTGAACACCTACACACACAGTTATTTGTGTATGTTTCATGTCCCCAAATGTAATATAAGCCCCATGAGAGGAGACCATGTTCTAATTAATCCATCTGGTCTAATTGCTAGCGAAGTGCTTCACACTTTTGAGGGGGGAGTGTCCATACTGTGGGTGGTGAGCATTTAACAAATGTCTAATATTCATGACAGCCAGAGTATTCTCCAAAGTATGACTTTATTCCAAACAGCATGAAATGTATCCCTGAAGTTGAATACATTCATTAAAGTAGTACTTTGTTTCTATGTCATTCTGTATGAGAATTTACTTTTAGCAGAGAGTGACGTATCTTAGATATATGTCATACACCTCATGAAGTTCTTTCATTTCTATCCCAGATAGCCATGGAGACATTCAAAGAAATTAGAAACTGTGTCTTCCAGGGACTGAATTGTCCACGATTCTAGTTCTAGAATATCTGTAGAGGCAAACTCATACAAAAATGTACCCATCATAACTTTAGTCCCCTCTATTCTGCCCTTATCATCATCACCATCACTGAGGTCCTCATCAGGTCTCACCTACTCTTCCTATTTCTTCTTTTTCTAATCCATCTTTCACAAGGGTGCCAAAAACAATTTTCCTAAAATACAAGCATGACTGTTACTCCCCTCCTGAAGAAGCTTCAGTGGGTTCCCTATTTCCTACAGGATAAAATACATATTTATCAACCCAAAATGTAAGGGCCTCCACAAGTTGACTCCTGCCTACCTTTCCACCCTTATTTCCTGCTGCTTCCCTCCGCGCATCTTTATTCTAGCCAAAGTGGATGTTTAGCTATTTTCTGAACTAGACTTACCATCTCCACTGAATTTACAGAAACTTTCCTCCATCTCTAGTCTGAACATTTTCTTCATCTCCACCCTTTAAAATCCTTATCTTCCTTCAAAAAAGCTCAGTTCAGGTGCCCCCTCCTCCATGAAGCTTTCCCTGACCCCAGCTGAGATTGTTCTCATTTTCCTCAAATTTTCCTTGAGCACTTTTCATTTCTCCAATGCTCACTTCACCAGTATTATGTTAATCTAGATGCTGTCCATGTTGTATTTCCCTCCTTGAGAGTGGGAACCATTTCTTTTTTTTCTTTTTTTCCTAATTTTTGTAGCCCCAATGTTTAGCACAGTGCCTGGCAACACAGCATAACTGCTTAATAAATGTTGAACGGCACTGAACATCAGAGCTTGTATTTCATCTTGTTAGAAGATGTATGTAGTGGGAAGAGTCTTTGATTTGGAATGAGAAAACCTAGGTTCAAATCCCAGCTCAGCTGTATGACTTGTGGGCAAGTGAGTTAAATTCTTTGAGCTTCAGTTTACTCACCTGGTTTAAAAAAGATTGGGGGAGGGAGAGGGAGGAGTGGGAGTAAATGAACTCTAAGAACCCTTGGAACACTAACTCCTAGGATCACAAAATTCCTTTGGTCATTAATGAAATATTTAAATAATGAATTTAAAGGTACCCTAAGCAAAAAAAAAAAGTTATGGCATTTTAAGAGGTAATTATTGTTCAGTCCTGTTTGACTCTTCCTGACCCTGCGTACCACAGCACACCAATAACTTGTCCATGGAGTTTTCTTGGAAAAGATATGGAGCGGTTCTCCATTTCTTCTCTAGTGGATATGGCAAACAGAAGTTAAGTGACTTGCCACAGCTACCAATTGTCTAAGACAGGATTTGAACTCAGGTCTGTACTGACCGCTAGCCCCATTGAGCTACCTAGCTGCCTCAATTTTAAGAAGAGTTTTATTTTGTGGTAAGTTTTATTTTTCAACTTCCTTTCTGAATTCCATACACACTTAAACAATCCTTAACATGATATAGAAATAGAACACTAGTTCTAACTTGTCACTGATTTCTGGATCCGTTTTCTCAAAAAAAAAAAAAGTGAATGGGATAGTATAAGTAACTACTTCATCCTCCTACCAGAGTTTCTGCAAGTCACTGAAAACCAGCCTAATTAGAGGTTGAAACACTACTTGCAAAAACATCTATTACCTAGACCAAATAAACTCCTGATACCAATAATTTCCTACGGAAAGAAGAGAACAAGAGCCTAAAAAAGTATTATGGTCAACCCCAGATCTTTTGGTCTATATCCTCACAACACTCCTAAACCACAAAATCCGAAAGACTTCTCTAAAGAAGTAAAATGAAATGCAGAACAAAATCTGAGTGCACGAAGTATGGCCAATACCTCTGCTTCTGTGACCTATACCCCGAGAGCCCTGGGAGTTCCCAACACTTGGATCTGAGTTCCAGGGGGTTACCTGGACTCCACCCAGGGCATTAGACAGGTGTCAGGTGTGTTTGGGAGTTCCCCAGGTAGAGAGGTAGCGTGGGGAGGAAGGAGTGGCATCTTTGCCTCACTCCCTTCCCGGGTCCTGCTCCACACACCCCCTAAGTAGTACCCCCATCCAAAGGCCGACTTTACCTTCTCCTTGGCTTTGAGGTAGCGCTGAAGAGCCTGCTGGGTGAGGTCTCGGACACGAAGCTGCCCTTCCTTGCAGGGAACCACAATCCCCATCCTCCCGAAACAGACGGTCACTTTCATCCTCGCCAAGCGGTCACCAGTACAGGACACCCCGACAACCAAAACAACAGTGCAAGGCGGGGAGGGTCGGGCGTGGGCGGGAGGGGAGCGGGGTTGCCCGGACTCCTGCGGCCCTGGCTAAGGCTGAAGGTCAAGGGGATGGGGAACGGGAGGGGGGCGGCGCTGGGAACAGGTGTGTCCGCCCCGTCCCGGGAGGCACGCCCACATGGGGGCGCGCGGCTCCCCCACCTAACTCGCGTCCCGCTGGGGGCTCTGGCACGTGGGGCTGGGGAGAGGGCTGAGTGTGCCCGGAAAGGGCCGGCCGCGCGCGGGACAGCGACGCGGAGGTGCTGCTCCTGGGCTGGCGCTGCGCTGCGCTCCGATGCGCCCGGCTCTGCTCCGGCCGGCGCTCAGGTGAAGCGCAGGCCGAGCCGCTCGGGGACGCCGCGCCGCTGCCGCCGCCGGCTCCACCTCCTCATGTCTCGGCCACGGCTCCCCTCCCGACGTCCCGCGAAACCGAAACTCCCGGCCGGGCAGCCTGCGTGCCCGGCCCCAAGCAAGGCCCCCCTCCTCGCGGAGGCCGCGCTGATGCCCGAGTGGGTCGTGCCCCGGAGTTAGGAAGGGGCGAAAAAACTTTTGTGGCCCAGGTCCCGAAGTCGTCCCTCTTCCTCCTCCTCCTCTTTTTCCTCCTCCTCCTCCTTCTCCGCTGCGGCCGCCGCGTTCCGCGCACTCCCTGCTCCCCGCAGCCCCGGGGGCCAGGCCTTACCCCGGCTCTTAAAGGGGCCGCGGCGCTTCCCCCTGCTCCTTCGCGGGCCTCGCCACGCTGCACCAGGGCGCGGGCTCAGAGGTACGAGGCCGGTAACCTGAACCTGAGAACTATCTACACAGAGAGAGAGGCAGACACGCAGCAGCCCAGCAGATTGGTAACGGGAGCCTAGGCTTACACCCCCGGGAACTGAAACCGGATCTCATAAGCACACTTAAGGGAATGGTAACAAGAGTGCAAAGCTTCATCTCTCTCTCTCTCTCTCTTTCTCTCTCCCCCCCCTCTCTCACACACACACACACACACACACACACACACACGTGTACACCTTTGAAAGGAGGGCATGAACGTAAGATACAGAATTCAAGGGAAGGGGTAAAACAGGTGCTTCTGACCCTACTCATAATAAATGGCCCAAAGAGCATCAAAGGCCACAAGTTATACTGACATAAAGAATCACAGGATTTTTTTTTTTGAGCTAGCAAGGACCTTAGAGGTCGTCTAGTCAAGGGTTCTTACTCTTTTTTTGTTGACATGGACCCTACAGCAATCTAGTGAAGCCTATGGATCTCTTCTGGAATAATGTGCTTAAATCCAAAAAATAAAATACAGAGGATTACCAATAAAACCAAAAGTTAATGAGAAGAAAGAGTTGTTTTCTCACCGAAGTTCACAAACCTCCCCCCCAAATTTATCCGTGGTTATTTTACTCCTGCACTAGTCTAATTCCTTCGTTTTACGGGTAAGAAAACTGTAGCCTAGAGGGGAGATAATTTGAAAAGATAACAACAGAGGTTACCCTTGATTTTAGCCAAAAAGATTTATTCAAGTTCACATGACTAGTTGGGGTACATAGAAAGGGAAGAAGCCGTGAGTTTTTTTCAGTAGAAGGAACTACTCTCCCTTGAAATTACAGATTGGTATCTATATGAGTAAGCTGATTAGTCCTAGGGACTAATTAGTGCCAGAGTCAGAGAGGTTGAGTGACTTGCTTAAGGGTCATTCATTCAGCTAGTCCTTATCTAAAGAAGAATTTGAACACAGGTTTTCCTGATTCCAAGTCCAGTTCAATAGTAAAGCATAGTCTTCTGAACCCACTGTATTCCATTAACATCTAACTTGGGAAACTGATTTTTAAAAACTTTTTGAAGAATGATTCCCAAAGTGTATATTCTTTACCAGTGAAAACAGAATAACAACTTAGGAACAGAAAATATTTCTCTCCAAATGATTTGCTCCTACTTTCTGGTATACCCATAAACCATTTGCATTGCTCAAGAAGCCCAAGACAGATTTACAGGTGATTAGATAATAGCTCTAAAACCTTTTCAGTTTGACTTTCTAAATTTCACCATTTGAGAGAAGCCTTCGTCACCTAACTTGATTTTGCATCCTTCCTTGTTCACTATTTATTAAGGACCTGCTACGGGACTAGTACTGTGTATGGCCTATAGGGGATACAAAGACTTTCATGTCATAGCTTACAGAGTTGGAAGGCATCTGCTTCCAAGTGACTTAGCATCAAGTCTAACCTTTCTTGAAGGTGTCTATAATTGTGAAAGCAGACTAACCATCGTCCCCCACACACACTCTCACAGATATATGTTGCCTTTTACAAATATTAAGAAAATGTTTTTTAATTATGCTAGTCTGAAGCCTTTGGACTAAAGTGAAAGAGAACCCTTATTTTTAACTACCAGTTCTGAAGTACCGTCCAGCACTAAAATCTTTCTCAATCATTCTTATCAAAGGCTGAGCCATTTAATTACTCACCTCCAGGCCCCTCTCTCCTTATAAGCCTAGGAAGGACTCCTCCAAGAAGTGATCAGAGTAATAATCAGACTAAGAGAAGTATTACTTCTGTTAATGGAGATATTAGCTGGAAAGGAGAATCCTGAAAGCAAATGTTCATGGTTCTCAAAATGTGGTCTGAGGGACACTTTCAGGGGGTCCGTTAGATCCAAACTGTTTTCATAATTCTAGTAAGAAACTTCAGTTTCTTTCTTTTTCTTCTTCTATTCAACCTGTCCCTGGGAGGGAAGAGCTTTATTTGCAAAATAGATCTGAAATAGGAACATGGAAATTAACAAGAATCCTTGGAATCTTAAGGGATCTGGGCCCCAGGCACTAAATGTAGGGTCCAAATTAGGTAGAAAGATTAAATGCCCATAGATATAAACCACATAAACAAAAGATTTTTGTGGGGTAGTCTTCAGGAATTTTTGAGAGTATAAAAGGGTCCTGAAACCAAAAAAATTGAAAACTACTGCCTATCAGTGGGTGGTCAAAAAGGATGAATGATTTTAAGAAAATGATCCTCCAAGGGCATGTAGAAAGTTAAGTGGCTCACTGCACTCTGTCTGGTTTCAACCACATCAAATAAAATGGAAGAAGATGCCCCCATGCCAGATACCCCTGGCCTCCAGTCCATCCATGTCTCCCATTAGATTGTAAGCTCCTTGAGGGCAGGGACTATGTTTTTATTAATTGTATCCTCAGTACTTAGCACAATGCCTGACAGAGTAGGCCCTTCATAAATGTTTATTGGATTGAATTGACTATTGTTTTCCTTAATGAGGTAAAATGAAAATGTCAACTGAACTTTTACTTTGAGGTTTGTAACTACACTTGATCATATTGGAACATTTTCTTTGTTCGGGAATATTATGAATTTTAACTCAAAAATAGCTTGTCAGAGATTAAAGTTAAAGTCATGGAGTGAATCAGCCTGTCTTTGGTCTTGTCTTTTGTGCAAGAGAAATGCTTAGATTAGAATAATCTAAATTAATTAAAATTGTTTCTGACAGGCTCATGCCTAGAACACAGGGTACAAAATTTTCTTACACATAAGCTGATTGGGGGAGAAAAGATATAGAGATGAAAAGTTAAATACTACATAACTCTACAAGCAAGGTAGTAAATATGTTATGTGTATATAAATCCAGACAGGCCATGAGTCCAGAGAAGGGAACTGCGCCCACTGCAGTGATCTGAAAAGGCACCATAGAAGATGTGATATTTGAACTTATCCTTCAAAAGTAATAAGTAAAATGTAGATAGACAGAGAAGCACTAGGAGAGTCAACAAAGGGAAAGCCTTTGTAATTTTATACCCTTTGTTCCACATAACCAATGCTTTTTTTAACCATTACTTTTCCAACCCGATCAGTGATTCCCTTCTCCTCTTCACAATCATCTCTTGCTTCCTTTTCTTGCACAAAGTCTCTTAAGTATCCTGCTTAACAACTCCCTGCAACACATATTGCCAGAGCATCTCAGACCCCAGGATAAATAACGGAGAATATCCAAAGTTCTCTGTATTACCCTCTGAAAAAAATTGGACTAGGTTCCTAAGGGAGGTGGTGATATCATTGAGATTAAAGAACATATTAAGCAACACATTAATGAATTAAGCAATCATGTTAATCACTGAGTGATCTTGTGTGACCTCAAATTAGTAATTCTAAAAAGATTTCAGGGTTTACAGTTTGTGTTTATTAAAAAGCAGCATTTAAATTTTTATGCATCATCGTGACGTACATTAAAACAGTTTATCATATGCCAACAACCAATATCATAAACATAGTTACAACATATAGTCATCCATGCCCAGCAAATTTCTAAGTGAATATTTCATACTCCTTGGGATTTCCAGGGTGGAAGACAATAAACCTAACTGGCCTTGATTGAATAAGAGGGTATCTATGATCTATATTCCTGTTTTGCTTACTAGATATAGGAATTTTGCTTATGGTGGATTATTTTCTTTCCTGTTGGACATCATCATGTCTATAGCCATAGCCATTAAAGATACTTTGTGAAGAGAAATAACATACTGAATTGCCTTTCTGAAATTGTAAATTTTAGATAACTTGCTCATTTTTATTGGCTAACGGAGTTTCCTCAGTGGGAGTATTCCATACAGTTTTAAAATCAAAGTCTGAAATAGCTTTATTTATTAGAGAGGCAGCATGGGGGTAGTGACCTCTGCCTCAGCCTCAGGGATCAAAAAGCCCCGTATTCAAATTCTGCCCTGACATAAGTTGGCTTTGTGATTCTGGACAACTCACTTAACCTTTTAGAGTCCTAGGAAACTCTGTAAGGCTATACATTGCAGAACAGTTATCCATATGCATTGGTAGGAGGATTTCCTCACTGAAGAATTCCTATACCAATGAAATAACAGATTCAAAAACAAGCACAAAAAATATTAAACTCTTGTGCAATTTATAGATAATGCTACAACTGCAAGTCCCTTTACTGATTCTTACAGTTAAGAG